TGGCGGGAAAAGCTGAAGAGAGGAATCAACAACAATGTAAAAGTCAGAAGGTTGACAGCTCAGCATGCTCAACTTTGTACAGCTATATGTAATGAAATTAGATGCCAGAGAAAGAAAGAAGTAGGACAATCTCAACTCTTATTTAAATCACTCTTGAACTCGGTTCAAGAAGGATCACATGCGTATGCTGATTCATAAGTGACACTCATAGCATCTGAGATGGGTTAAGTCTGACCTAGGGCCACCTGCAAACATACCTCCAGAGAAGGGAAACCAGGCATGAACTCCACAGTAAACAGAGTCTTGGGTCCTAAAAGTCCTTAAAAATATTCTACAAGGTCTTAAATTTGAGAATCAGATCAAAGTTTTCCTGAGAAATATACAGAATTTTACCTACAGCCTTGGGAGGAGAGGCAGGGTGGACCTCTGACGTCTCTAGGCAATGCCCGGTCTACCAGTTGCCCGTAGTGCTAAATAAACTAAATAAGTGCATCTATCAGGGAGAACAAGCACTGTGAAACAGGGTAGGGGAGAGAAAAGGTGCCAGAGACAGGCTTTTAGAGGACCATAATTCTTAACAGGCTAGCTTTAAACTATAGCCTTTTTCAGAAGTCCATTTTGTCTTAACAGTTCTATTGATCCCAGATGGAGGAAACATCTTTTTGCATCTGACTATCCAATGTCAACTCAAACACAGCCTGTCCAAAATGGATTTATCACCTCGAAGGTAACTTCACAATGAAATCTTTCTACATGGCAGCAGCATGACTAATCCTAATCAACCATCCACACCATTTATCATTAGTATTTGACTCCATTTTGATTCTTCTTCAATAAGAAGGCAGAAAATCGATAAGCAACCAAGTTCTGCCAATCCTGGCAAATCATATATACTGTGGCTATTTACTATCTGCAGGATGGCTCTGGATATAGAAAAAGACCTAGTTAAGATCTTTCCTTGATATTTTCATAGCCTCACCACTGATGCTTGAAATCTTCTTCATCAAGTCACCATCTTCACCTGACCCCTAACTGCTAAAATCCCTTCCAAGACTCCAGTTCACATACCATCTTGCTGATTCAATATAGTCTCTACAGCAACAAATTCATCAATTCCCTTGCTAGGGCTAGCTATGTGTATGGAGACCCAGATATCTACAGAAAGTCTGTGGCTCTACTTAGACAAAAGGGCCCCAAAGCCCATCTCATCATTGGGTTCATTCCATCTGTATGCAAATTCTCCCTTTCATTCCCAGTCCCCAGGAGTACAAGTTCACTCCCCCAGCACATGGGTTCTGAAGCTGACCCTGAGACTCACTCATGTTTGTTTCCTGAATCATGTCTGTACTGGTCTCTCCCTCTTCCTTCCTTCCTCTTACCACAAAACATTCTAAGAAAGTATATCCCATAATGACGGCACATTGATGTATGATGGTATACAATTTTCTAAATCATTCACCTTAACACTAACTCATAAATATTCATTCTTTTGGTGGGGGTCCTTTCAAACTGATAATTTTCTTGAGGTCAGTAAGAAAGCCCTTCATTTGCTTGTCTGTTTTCATGCATTCAATTAAACTATGTTTACTGAAGTCCTACTTTGCACCCAACAGTCTACCAGGCCAGAGGGGTCTTTATGATTTGTCATAGGAAGTCCCAAACATTTATCCATAAGTAACTCCTATCCTCTTCTAGCAAGTAGCCAATTTATTTAAGAAAAATAGCTCTTTTAAACAAGCAATCTCATTTTTAGGTTATATTTTAGATCAGAGAAGTCACAAAATTTTCAAGCAGCCCTTTGGTGTCAATGTTTGGAGTTTTGCCAGTCAGGCTACAACTAGATTTAGAATATATTCATTTGCTTCTGCCCTTCAAAATTCATTCTATCTTGTAATTTCAGCAGAAAAGAATTTTGCTGTCTCTTTAAGGCTCAAGTAACTTTTCTTGAATTTGGCATAAAATGCTGTACATAAATGGAAACTGCTCCTTAACATCTAAAGTAGCTGGGGACATTTCTCTAATAGCAGCATTATAAGCAATCCAGAAATTCCCCAGATCTGGCCAGCTGTATTAGTAAAAATTTAGGAATGTGGACTTTTTATTATGACTTAATTGCACTTCTGTTGAGAGTTTATGCCATTTCATTTACAAATATGCTCATAAAAAGAACATTGCAATATAATACATATTCATGTAATAAATAAATGTCACCAGGACTATTCCCCACAATGACAACAAATAGTAAGTGCCATCATCCCAGATGTTTATTTAAATCGGCCCTGAAGTAATAGACAGGCTACTGGGTAATCATCAGTTACTGATGCTCTTTTTAATACCAAGATGGTATTAAGCGAAAAGGCTCTTCTGTCTGCATATGCTCTATCTATACAGATTTGATCTCTCATCATTGGCAGCACCAACACTTATGCAATTTTTGCATTTGAAGAGACTCTTGTGTTTTAGAAGGAATCAAAACACCTTTGAAAAGAATTCTTTTTGCACAGAATCAGGCACTGTATGAAAAGTTGCAGAGCACATGGAAGACCCAGAATGGGGGGACTTTCTTTCCCAATGGACTATTCTTCAGGTTTGAACAGGCATCAAGGCTAGAGGCAGAGCTAAAACCCACCGAGGCAGGAAATTATTCAAATCAGAACTCCTGTCAGAGAAGTGGCCTGGTGGAGAAACTGCTGGAAGCTCTTGGCTTCCCTGCTACTCAATGCTCCATTTGTTTTGCTACTCCAGAATTCCCCTGGAGGAAAGAGCAGCGTCAAAGCAGAGCACATCTCCCCCCACCATCATTTCCCTCTGGGGTTTTGTCCTTGTAAATGCTCCTGCACCAATGACCTCAGACAGTGTTTAGTAGATTTTATTTTGACTCTATTCTTCTCCAGGGCTTGGTCTATAGCAATTTGACAACCAGGAGAAGTGTCTTTCTCTTCCTTTGCTTCCAGTGTCCCTACTCATGGTTTGCCAGCAAATTGCCTTGAACAGATCCTCAGTCACTTTCCCGGCTCCATTTCTTCCCCATCCCCTTGTCTTTGGCCTGTTCTGTGTATCAGGAAGAACTCTCCAAATCAGGTTCTTCTCCACTCACTAAACCTGGGATCAGCCATGGTGACAATTTCCCAAGTAACTTTCTACATAAAGATCACTAAAATCAAGTCTCCAATCTGTCTTAGTCTGCTCAGACTGGTACAGCAATCTACCAGAATCTGCTCATAAACAACAGACATCTTATTTCCACAGTTCTGGGGGCTGAGAAAGCTAGGATCCAGGTGCCAATAGATTTTGTGTCCAGTGAGGATACCCCTTTGGGTGAGGGCAGTCATAGGCTGAATTTTTAGAAGGAAGGAGAAAGCAGATGACTTTGGGGGGGTGGTCATGACTTCCAATGGTGAGAGTTTTGCCTTCATCAGCTATCATCCTCCCAGTGTTCTATTCCCCAATACCATCATGTTAGGGGTCACACTGTCAACTTACAGCTTTGGGGAGACATACTTATTCAATTTGTGACAGACTGGTTAGCATTGGATATACTGGAAATGAAACAGTACAATGGGAGTCTCCCATTCATGAGGGTGAAATGCCCATTAAAAATAAATTGGGGGGTGTGGTTAATAGTTCCTATAGCCAGTCAGGGTATCCTTGAGTCTACCTAAGGGAGGCAGGATACTGCTAGCAGTTCTGACCCATCAGGAGAGAACCTTATCATCCAATTGGGAAGACCAGAATTCCTCTCTCACTGGCAGCAGAAACAAAGGCAGCAGGCTTAATGGTCCTGGGAATATTGATGGAAGGTGTTTAGGCAGAGGCATAGTCCTGTGAAGACAAGAGCTGCATTCGCACCATGAAGAGAGTCAGCAAGATATTTTTTAGAAAAATCTTAGAAGAAGCAAAATCTCTTCAGTAAGGGATGTGTGTGTGTGCATGCGTGTGTGTGTGTGTGTGTGCGAGAGAGAGAGAGAGACAGAGAGAGAGAGATCAAAAGCAGAATGTAATGTGTACAAGGCATGTGCTCTACCACTGAACTACATCTTGGGCTTTGGTACCTAAATTCTAAAAAATATGTATCAGGAAACATGGCCAGAGAGACAGGAGAGGTGGCAGGGCACTTGCCTTGCATGCTGATGACTCAGTTTGAATCCCTAGTACCAATGTAAGGTCCCCTGAGTACTGCCAGGGATCTTCTGAGCCACGAACAGTCCCTGGGCAGCCCCTCTGTTGCCTCACCATCCCCCTAAAACACATGCATGTATATAACTAAGGATTAATGAAGATAAAAACGTTTTTGGATTGTAAATTAATGAGAGAATTTGGCTCAGATCAAAGGCTCTGCGGGATATACAGGAAAGCACGAGAATGTGGCCAAGAATTTCAGCATGATGGAGAACAGACTGGAAGACAGGAGGGCAGAGGTCTGAGGCAAGGGCACCCATGCCACCCCCCCCCCCCACCCCCCAGTGCAGCCCACTGCTCTCACACATCTGATTTCTGTCTGCACAGAAGACAGTTCTCTTGTTGACAACAGCTCACTGGCTTGGCAGGGGGATGGATCATCCGAGCACTGTGGCCTGGACCACTCACAACTCCAGGAGCGCCTGGCAAAAGAGAGACCTGGAGGCGCTTCTGCAGTAAAGAACGCAGTTTCTCACTGAAGTCACGGGGATATGCAGTGATTATTTCCCCCCCCCCTTCTATGTTTTCCAAACACCTTCTAGATTACTTATTACTTCTAAACAATAAAAAAATGTCAAATACGAAGGGTGAAAAAGAAGCAATAGCCTCTGATATGGAATTTTTAAAACATGGTAACAAAAGCTCTCTTTATGAACTTAGGGTTTCTGCAATTAATTCCAGAAGCATGCTTCTCTCAACGTAGAGGGGCAGAGATTCCATCACCCTAACTCTCTGCTGGTCCTGTCTACATGTGCAAACATTTCACAATGCCTTCGATTTAAGAAAAACTTTTGATTTAGAAAATACTTTTATTTTTTTACCTAAAATTCTCATGCTCTTCTGCCTGATGTGTCCAGGGACAGCTCTGAATATTCATGATGATCTGAAGATAGTCATTCTCCGAATACCTAAAAGTCAAATGTCAATGAAATTAGAAAAAACAAGATCACACATATGGCTGAACAAGTGAAAATTCCCGAAGCGTTATCATCCTTCACTCTTTCTACACCTTCAGACCGACATGGTCCATGGTCTGGTGGTTGAAGAACACTGTCTAAAGTGACATATTTTAATCCAATCGTTTTAGCCTGAACTTTTTCCTGAAATAAATTAACCTAGAAATGAATAAATACCATGTCTATTTCAAAACTTCCAGGAGGGACATGCAAAGAATTCTTCAAGATTGAGGATAATAGACCCAGGGTTGAACCCCAGCACCCCATATGGTTCTCAGAGCCTGGCCAGGAGGGATCCCTGAGCACAAAGTCAGGAGGAAGACCTGAGCACTGCCAGGTAGAGCCCAAAGCAAAACAAAGATTTAGGGAAATAATGGTATATTACAGCATGGAAGGCAAGACATTTCTTATTTATCTTTCTTTTAAATTCCTCTCTTTTCAAGTTTCTGCCAGATTAAACAAAAATATTTCCCATTGTTCTCGTTGGCCCAGTTAAGAAAGGCTGAAAATCTTGAAAAGCTGCTAAATATTCAAGAAGCAGAACAAAGAGCTAAGGTCAGAGAGATTAAACATAACTTTCCTTGCTTACAATTAGAATTGCAACTGTACTTTAAGTCATCAAGCTAAACTGTGTCATGCAAAGTATAGCAAATGGACCATTACTGTTAGAATTGAAACTTCTATTCAAATGTTATTTATTAGAAGAAATGGAAGTTGGGTTTCTCATGATATGCAACTAAGAATAAAAGATCAGTGAACTTCAAAACAAAACAAAACTAGTACAAATAAGTCACAATGGGAAAAACAGAGACCAAAACTTAACAGAAGCCATTCAACTGTAAGACAACATCCAGTGACCTAACAGATGGACAATTATAGTCCAAGCAAGGGAGGAGGCCAAATTGTTCTAAAATAACTATGGTAGAAATGTTTTAAAATTTAATAAAAGACATGAACATAGACAAGTAAGAGGCTCAATGAATGAAAAGCACAGAAAACCTCACTAAGATACATAAAAATTAAGTTACCTTAATCGCATACTAGACAGAAAATCTTTTAAAATCAGTTAGGGCAAAAGACCCATCATGTACATTGAGACAGAAATACCATTTACAGCAGACTTGGCAAAAACTATCCAATTTTCAGAAGATAGGGGACAATGACATTAAAATGTGATTTTAATGGGGATTCACAGTCTCAAATGAGAGCAACAAGCTGCAGAGATGCCTCCAAAACCCATGCCAGGCTGAATCTCATCTGGGGTACCCTGGCGAGGAGCGGGCGAACGCACCACTGCCCAAACAGAGCTCCAGAAGCCAAAAACCTCCATAACCTAATCACCGCCATGCTCATGGTGGGACTCCATAGGCTCACGACAAAACTTATACAGGAATGAATTTGTTGAAAAGCTTAGGTATGTGGGTTTTGTGACCAAAATCTCCAGGTTCTCTTGGAGTCAGGGATGGGTGACCTCCCCCATCCCTCTGTTATATCAGGAGCCTCGCAATCACACCCACGACAAACTGCCTCTGGTGCCACATAAGCTCATTAACCAGCTATGACCCAGAGACTCATAAATAAATCTCAAAAGAGATCAAAAAGTTGCAGAGATGCTTCTGTACCCCAAAGTCATCATCCAGTTAAAAACTTAACTCCAACTGTATCACCCATTCAAAATTTTAGAATTCCTGGAGTGCGGCTGTGATATCTCATACTCTACACCTCTGATATACCAGGTATAGCACACCACATTGGATAGGATGTAAAGTAGAAGGTAACAAATCTTGATCAAGAAAATATTAATACATAAGGCTTCACCTGTAACATGTTAGTAATCTCTTATACAAGCACTTAATTTCTCCAGGGTGAGATACAACAATCTTCATACACTTTCTTCTCAAAAAATGATCTTTTTTGATCATTTTTAACGAATTATTCATAACAAGCAACACAAAATAAATTATTTAGGGCCTGCTATTGGAGTAGGCTTGGGTGGTGGTTGGGTAAAATTGGAAAAAATGGTGGTGGGATTGGTGTCACAATACTGAATGTAATAAATCATCATGAACAAATTTATAAAAATAAAAATTTTTAAAATAAAATAAAATATAGACCAGGAAAAACTGGGGCAAAAAATCTCGTGGGTAGGGTGCTTGCCTTGCACGCAGTCTACCTGGCACCACATATGGTCCTGCCAGGCGTGATCTCTGAGCACAGACTCAGGAGTAATTCTTGAGCACTCCCAAGTTAGCAAACAAAACCAAGCAAAATATAGAATAGCACATGCCTCCCAAGGGGACAGGCTGGGGTGTTGGAAAGAACCAGCGTGTACTAGTGGGAAAAGGGCACACTGGTGGCGGAATTAGTGTTGGGACATTGTGTGTCTGAAACAACTCTATTACAAATAACTATAAATCACAGGAGAGCCCGGCAAGCTACCGAGAGTATTCGATATGCCAGACACAGTAACAACAAAGTCTCCAAATGGAGACGTTACTGGGCCCGCTCGAGCAAATAAAATAAATTTAAAATAAAATAAAATACAGACCAGGGTTTAAAAAAGGTGAACTGTCAACCTAGATTTTGATCATCAAATCTTTCAAAACCTTAGGTAAAATAAGAACTTTTTTAGACAGATTGAGCTGAACAAATTCATACCAGCAAAGCTGCAGTACAAAGAACATTAAGGGAAGTCCTTTAGGCAAAAGATAAATGAAATGATATTGAAATCTGTATTGACAAAAAAACTAATATAGGATTGGTAACATGAAAATGTATGTGACTTTTTAAAAACTTTTTCCTACTTTTTTTTGGGGGGGTCACACCTGGCGATGCTCAGAAGTTACTCCTGGCTTTGCCAAGAGCCACTCCTGGAGCTGCTCAGGGGACCATATGAGATGCTGGGATTCGAATCCGGGTCAGCCGCGTGCAAGGCAAATGCCCTACCCACTGTGCTATCACTCCAGTCCCTCTATATCTTTTTAATAGAGCACCGAGACCTTAAAGAAAATACCAAACAATACATTTAAGAGCTTAATGCAGATATTCATGACACCTACAGAACAAAAGGCTGAAAAGTGGAAAAGAGATTAAAAGTGGTATAAATCACTTGAAAGCAGACTATGATAAGAAAAAGATGCATACTGCTGGCCCAGGCCATAAAAATAAACTAGAAAAAGCAATAAAAATGTAATAATAAATTTACTCGCTACAAGAGAAAACATAAAAAAAAGAGGAAAGGGGAGCAAAGTGAGGCAAATAGAAAACAAGTAGCAAGGGGGTAGATTCAAGCTCAACCATAGAGCTACACAAAATTTAAATGATCTGTAACAGAGCATGAAAAGATAGAAAATGTCAAAGTGGATTTTTTTTAAAACAGAAACAAGTCCTACATTGTTGATAGAGATACATACATAAAAAAAAACCAAAATAAAAAGAGGATAGAAATGTAATGCAGAAAAGCTACTGAAAAGAAAACCAAAGTTGACTACATTCATATATAATTAGAAGATGCCTGAGCAGAGAACAGTGCTCAGTAAAATAAGAGTAATAAGTAATAATAAGAGCAGAAATTTTAAAAAAAATTAAAAATTAAAAAAGGAGGAAATAATTGAAAGTGGTTTCATTAAGAAAAAGAATAACATTGACACATGTTAGATTGCTTAGAGACGATGCAAATGACCAATATTCATATCGAGAGGGGACACATACTTTAGTGGTGCCGCCTATGTGCTCTTGCTTGCAGTGTGCCAGAGGCTGCATATTTGGTTATGGCACCAGGGACCCCAGCCACTGGGGATGGGAGAATGATCACCCACATGGGGGGTGACCAAGAATCAAACTCACAGCCTCACCCTTGCAAGGCTGCGTTGCCACCGAGCCAACTGCAGGCCCCTGGCGTCTTCTTTACATGTTGGGTAGAACTGAACAGTGAAACTGTTTGGTTCTGGTGTTTGCTCACATTCCAGTCAGGATGTAAGTGAGCACCCCGCCGAAGTGCAAGCACCACAGATGAAGGAGTGTGACTTCCCCCAACCTTGAAGAAAACCACGATTGAATGTAAGCACCACAGTCAGAGCACCGCAAGCAAGTGTGTGAGCACAAGGAAGCAAGTCTAGCAGCCGGGCAACACGACAGCCCCACCAAAGGCAAGAGAGGTGGAAAACTTTCGTTTGAGTCACCCACGCCCTCAGTAAATTGTATTCAGTTTCAATTTAGCCTAATATTAAAAGACATTAACTCAAACGTTATCAATTTTACTAAAAGGATTTTATTTTTTACAGTCACTATTATTTCAAACCAAGTCCACCAAGTCTAGCAGATCTGCCTCCTGAATGATTCTTAACGACTCCTGATCAATCAGAAGACATATTTCAAGTTACTCCCTTCCTTCCCTTCCTAATGTTTCTGAGTTCAATCTTTTTTCTCTTTTTTTAATGTTCAGTCTAAAAATAAAACACCATCCTCAGAGATTAGGGCTAAGGAATATGAAAGGGAGTTGTTTTAATCTACGTGCTTGCCCTTTCATATTGAAGAATAAATCACCAACCAGCTTTTTAGAAAATTAAGACTGCACAAACAATCATGATTTGTAAGGTAGAAACAGGTTTGGAGTGTGAAAAAAAAAGAAGGCCAAGAAGGAAAAATCACATATATGTTCCAAGTGTGCACTAATTTATCAGTATGTCTCTATAAAATTTTCCTGTTGGGTAAAATTCTCTAAGTCACAGCATACTTTCTGGAAAGCTACATTTATTCTTGGTTTTCAGTTTACAATGTATATTCCTCACGTTTACCACATCTTAAGAGACAGCAATTCCTTTGAAGTTACCCCCATTTTTTATGGATGACAAAACTAAGAAAATAAAAATCATGTTCAATATTGTTCAGTAAATGGATGAGCTAAGAATTAAACTCGTGTCTTTTGATTCACAGTTGGGCTCTTTTTCTAA